TTATCCAGTGAAAGCTAAGATATCTCATTTTCTGCTACAGTAAACTGCTTTATCTTCCAGGTTTGTCTGCCATACTCCTACAAGGGATCTAGAAAGCTGTAGCACTCCACAAAATCAAGAATTTCCTCTCTAAAAATGGGTAATTTAAAACAAATTCCAGGATTGTCTCTTTATGAAGTCAATGGTGGTAAAAATACCCACAGCCAACATTATGACCCCATGGCATGTCATCTGTGACCCTACACCTTCTGGTTACAGGAAGGTTATATGAACTTGTGGTGAATTTTCAGAAGCCTGGACTTGTTCTTCCACTGTGTGTGCACAGCTTGGCACTGGTAACCTGTTGCTGTACAAACATCCCATCATTTATCGCCCTGATTCTGAGCCACTGCTGGCAAAGAAGAGGCTGTCACCTTTCTGCTGTCCCCAGCCACTTGTTCTGACGCACAAACATTTGCTTCGCCCTGTGGTGACCTGGATAACAGAGGTGCCAAAGGACAGATGAGCAGCTGAGGTCAAGAGAAACTGACTGCCTGCCTTATTTTAGCATCAGCACTTGCATATGTTGGCATAAGTTCTGTGCACCAGCAGCATAAGAAACCCTTGTGACACATGTGGCTTAGGGGATGATCCAAGCCCTGGCATAATTCATGTCATAGACACACAACAACTGCCACGGTCGACCAAGGTTTGGATGTGTTCAGATGTACAAGAGCTGGGTACAATTTGCTAGAGAGCTCTATACTATGCAGGCAGAAGCAGTCTGTACCTTAAAGATTTTTATGCTGATTTCTAACGGAATCTGATCTCCCTGGTAAGCCAACAGATTTACTGTGCCTTTCAAACTATATATTGTGCCTATTCAGCTGTAAGTCCGACTGAAAAGAGTCTCAGTATGCATAGTCTCTTTTTTGTAGGAGTGTGACATACAATACTGTGTCACGACATCATGTCACACAAGATTTTCTTCTCCCAGTTCTTTGTGCCTGGGTTATCCCCAGTACCCGGGATCATCTCAGGGAGCTAGCTCTTCAAGATAATTTTCTGGAAAAGCAAACCAGAATCTATTGTCAGATGGACTTTTTAAAAGATACTGAGATTGATTACAAAGTATCTGTGAGGATCACTTGTGGCTTGCTGAAAAAGGAAGGCTTTATAAATGCTATCTGGTGTTAAAATTTGCTTAGAAAAACTTAAACAGATTTTGAACAGGCAAAAATCTATGGGGGACTGAGGGCAGGGGTCGGCTCTCCCTCCAAGCAGCATCTGCTGCACCTTTGCCATACACAGAAGCTGCCAGGGCTATTTGGCTTCTTTAAATCCTGGAGATGCAGAGGTGGGGCTCAGCTCTGTGAAGTGTGGGGAGATGCCTCCTCCCTGTTAGGGAGGCTTTGCTCTACTGAGCTGAATGGCAGCTCTGCAGTGGCTCTGCAGATCAAGTGACTATGTCTGTGACAGATACACCTTAGTATGGTCATTGCTTTGCTCATTAGAAAATGTGACTATACTATTTGTAATAGCCTAAGGCACTAGGTCCCTTTGTGCACTAATAACCTGCAAGATGGTATGATCTAATTCAAAGTGATTTTTAGACTTTCAGGACTCAAACATAACATTTAGCAAAAGTCCCTTAATATTACATATATATATATAGGGAGAGGCTAAGCCTTTTTCAGTTAAGTTTTCTCTAGAAAGAATAAATGCTTATTGCTGAGCTATACTGTAGCAAGGAATTTGAAAAGGAGATGCTAGTATAAAAGCAGCTGTAGCAGTAATTAGGCCATGGCCATGAATCTTCACCTGGAACCAGCCGGGCTGATGGAAGTGGTGGGTGCTACCAGTCTGAAATAATGAGTGCCAATGGCATATTCCTCCCTCTCTGCCAGGAGTGTCCATTCCTTGGATCTGCTCATGGAGGCTCTTGTATTTCAGTCCAAGTGAGCTGGATCAGCAAGACTGACAGTGGAAATGAGTTCATCTTGGCTGCAACAGGTCAGAACACCCTCAAAAGAGCACCTCCCACAGCAAGTCTGGGAAGGGGGGGACAATCTGCCTCGGGGGCGCGCAGGGATGTGCAGCTGGGATAAAGGGGAAACTAGATGGGACAGCTTCTTCCATGGATGAGCACAGCCATCTATCCACAGCCAGAGTAACCACCACTGTTTTCAATGACATATTTTCAAGAACACCACAGACAAAACTCTTCTGAGTAGCACCTCAAGCACTGACTACATTTCTATCCTCATTTGGGCAAACTAGGACAGCAACTTTTTTTGTGTATATATTTACCTATACACACGCATACATCTGGATGCACTGGCAACAAAATCTTAATAAGCCAGCTCCATTATATGTAACTTATAGGCTTATAAACTAATTAATGAGCATCAACATGTATCATTCTGTATGTGGTCTAAACCTGGTATGGTTAATAGGGTGATAGCTGGTGGGTTAGAAAGAGCTAAATCGGAGAAAAAAAAATCTAAAAGAATTAAGAGTGAGTATTACACTTTCCAATGGCTGCAAAGAGAAAGCAACCAGAATCAATGAAAGATGACCAAGAAATCTCGGGGGAAGACAAAAACTGTACATAATATTTACAATGTTCTTTTTGCCCATATACAACACAATTACTCTGACCATTAAAAATATATTTTGTTGAAACAGCACAAATCAGCTGGGACCCCAGAAAATGCAGCCCTCCCCCTCCAGGTTGCCCCCAGCATCCTTGTGCCCACCCTGCCTTCGTCCAGGAAAGAAGTCACACTCCCAGGGAAACAAGGCTTGGCCAGAGCATTTCTGCATCAGGCAGGACATACATCCCCTGCCTGCGGACCCAGCTCGCAGCGTGCCGCTGACAGAAACAGATGAGGCCTAACTTCGGACAAGAGGAACAGCGTAAAGGCAGCAAAAAGCTTGATACTAAGCACAGCTTAGCCGGAGGAGAGAATGAGGGCTGCTGTGTCTATAACCACAGACACACACCTTCGCCTGCTTGCACACACCAGTCCAAGCCAATTCAAGCCACTGTGGGAAGTTTCACAGCATTGTTTATTCTGGAAAAGAGAAGGGCTTCAAGGAGAGCTGCTTTGCAGCAGTCCTCTGTGCACAGCACATAAACCTGAACATTAAATATAGTTTTAAATTATTAAGAATAAATTTAAATTTAAAAAATAGACTAATGCAAACAAATAAATTTCAGTCAACAGTGGAACGGAGCTAGTTTTAGGAAGCATGTTGCTATAGCAAATGCAACTCCTTGTTACCTTGGACACTCGGAGGCAATGATCTGGTGGTTCCAGTCCAGCACCGAGATGCATGTATTACCCAGCAAGGAAAAATTACCATGTCTAGCATATGAAGCTCCATGTTCACATTTTTTCTATTTTTTTTTTCTCATCAATAGAAAAAAAGCCAACACAGCATACTAGCTTTTCCCACAAAGCATCTGAGGTGACAAAATTTACTTGGAAAATAAAAATTAACAAACACAGTACAAAGAAGAATCCTGGTCAGCTTGTGACCACCATAAGCCAAGATGGGTAAGAAAAAGAATAAAAAAATAGTTCACATCCGGCATCACAAACCTTGCTCACTTTTTTGAAATCAAGGAATGAGAAAAAAGGTCCATTTTGCTAAGACTGTTTCAACAAAGTTTTCTTTCCCTGGACCTGGAAAATCCAGGTATTAGGGAAAG